CCGAACTTCTGTGTTAGGATGAAGCCCCTGCACCTGGGACCGCAGAGCTACAGTGAGGCTGCACCCATCAGCTGCCTCCATGCCTGGCCTTCAGTGGGAAGGATTCGGGTTTGCCCAACACTGGGTTCCTTCCCCTCCTTGTCTCACATCCACGGAGGCCACTGACTCAAGCCAACCACAGACAGTTCTTAAGTTTGGGTTCCCAAAAGGTCACCTTGGCCTTACACCCAAACAGAGGTATGGATGTGACTTTAACCTTTTCTTTGGGATTAAAGCTTGAGATGTATTGGGAGTAGATTCATAGGCCAAAGCACCAGAGACAAGGAAGTCTGTATTTCTTTTGTTTTCTGCTCTTGGAACAGGGTTTCCTTGCCCACTTTAGCCACTCTTTGGAAAGTAAAAGTCTTAAAGGGAACCACCTACTCATGTCTGCATAAATATGCGTGACCTCAGCCCACTAACCATGGCTCCAATTACCAGTTACATCCTCGGAGGAGGCACAGGGGACTCATTGCTCTTGCAATTAGATGCTTACAGAACTTATTTGCATGTGTTATCATTGTAGGCTCTGAGGGAGAAGGCTCTTTAAACATCTGGACCACAGTGTCTTGGGAAGGATACTCGTAGATTCATTGGACAGAAGAGACATTGGAAGGTCTTCTCATTTGTCCTCTTGCCTCTAAGGAGAAGCAAAAGAAGCAATTTTCAAAATGCCACCTATAAAAGACTTTAGAAAAGGTGATTGTGTTTCTTCCCGGAAACCTCAGGTGGTGCATCACCTTCATAGTCATAGCCAAACACAATCCCTCCTGCTAGGGCAGAAGTCCATTGTTCTTGCACCATCTGCAGCTCTATCTGCTCCCCCCTGGGGGCCTTGTTCTCTCCTCTCTGACCAGGCCAGTGTGTTTCATGAGAATTTCCTCTACAGCCCTGGGGGGAAAGCGCCTGATGTTTTGGCATCAGGCAGACCTGTTTTTCAATTCCTGGTTTTGGGCAAGTTACTAAATTCCTCTGAGTCTGAATTTGCTTTTCTCTAAAATGAGAATACTACCACAGTATCTGTCTGACAGTGTTGTGAGGTGAAAACGCCTGGTACCTAGGAGTCCTTCGATAAATGTGCCTTTCCCCATAATTGTAGCATAACAAAGAGATGACTCTGTCTGAACCTGTTTCCCGAATGATTTTTTCCTCACATAATTAAACACTATTATATCATTACTAGAGGCCCGGTGCATGAATTTGTGCACTGGTGGGGTCTGGCTGGCCCACCCTGATCAGGGCTGATTGGGCCAGGCTGGCTGGGGGGAGGGGACATGGGAGGTTGGCCAGCCAGCTTGCCCCTGATCAGGGTGGGGAGCTGATTTGGGGTGGGGCCGGCTGGGGGCAGGGCCGTGGGCAGTTGGCGAGCAGGCCCTGCCCCCTGGTCAAACTCCGGTTGAACTCCCGGTCTAGGGGACACTTTGCATATTAGCCTTTTATTATATAGGATGCATTGAAGACAAATCCATATAGAATATGGCCATTTATAGTCATTGTTTTGTATAATGAGCTCTTTTCTGCAACCAGAATGTCAGCTCCTTGTGGACAAGGGACGGATCTTGTCTCCCCCTGAGGACAGGCTGGACCCATAGGAGTGGCCAATGACTCCTTGTCCAGGAGACCTGAGGGATGGTTCACATCCTCTTCAGGAGGTCAGCTTCCTGTTTCCCATCTCCAAGTAAAATACTATGAAGAGTGCTTGGCACAAAACCTGGCACAGAATACACGTTGAATAAAGTCTATTTTGTCGTCCCATTTCTATAGCCTTTCCCTGCAGGTGTTATTTACCAATTCTTTGACCAGATGTTGGCATCCTCTCTAAATCTCCTCTGAGTTCTGCATGTTTTTTAATGTGTGGAACACAGACCTCGGCACCTCTTTCTAAGACCCTTTATTAAGCGAACATGAGGCTAAAGGGGAGGACGTGGCAGACCCTCAGTTTCTACCCTTGGCCCTTGCCCTATCCCTCCTTTTTGGGGCATCGGCATCTGCTCATGGTGTCCTTCTGAGACATGTGGTGACTGCCAGATTCAGCCCTTTTTAAAAAATTGATCTTAAAGGATGAAGAGAGAGAGAGAGAGAGAGAGAGAGAGAGAGAGAGAGAGAAATCGATGTAAGAGAGATACACCAATCAGTTGCCTCCCGAATGTGCCCTATCTGGGAATCAAACCCGAGACCTTCCAGTGCGTTAGATGGCACTGCAACCAACTGAGTCACACCAGCCAGGGCAGATTCAGTCCCTTTATTATTATTATTATTATTATTATTATTATTATTTATTTTTAAAATCCTCATCTGAGGACATTTTTTTCCATTGATTTCTAGAGAGAGTGGAAGGGAGGGAGGGGGAAGAGAGATAGAGAGAGAAACATCGACGTGAGAGATACATAGATTGGTTGCCTCCTGCATGCGCCCCTACTGGGGCTGGGGAACCTGCAACCCAGGTACCTGCCCTTGAACCCATGATCCTTTGGACCAAGGGCCGATGCTCTAACCATTGAACAAACAGGCCAGGGCAGATTCAGTCCCTTTAGACAATCACCTTATACGCAAGCCCAAATAACATTTTCCTTGATTTCATCAGAGTCTTTACCGGAGCCTGGGAGGAAACCAGGTGGGGAATAAACCAGGCTGCTGGAGGCCCTGCCAAAGCAGCTTAGCTCTGGGCCATCAAAATACACTCTGCCATGGATGCCATCCTGAGCGGAGGCCTGGCTGCAGGCTGCGCGACTTGAGTTGGATGATTTGAGTTCGAGATCTTCATCTTTTCCCGCCTCGATCCTGACTTCCTGATCATTTCCTGCACCCCCGCCAGTTTCTTCGCTGCTTTCCCTCCACCTGCCAGCGGAGAGCAGTAACCTCCCGTGCCCTGTGCTCTCTCCGGGACCAGGGGTGTGCCTGCATTTCGGCAATGGTTTCCTTCTGGGTGTTCAGAGGGAAATGGCACTCTTCCTTCACCCCGGCCCTCCCCCCAGCTAGACGCTCCTTTGGCAGCCAACGAGCTAGGAATGACTGCTCCACGAAACCGTCCCCACTCTCAGCTGATCCTTCAGCTGAGACTTACGGGCTCTGTAACCGGCCAGAGACTGTAAGGTGTTTCCAGGAGCCTCGGCATTTGTTGAGTGGCTGGGATGTAAGAACAGAGGCTTAGTGTCGGGGCAATCTCTGTTTTGGAGAAGGAACTAGATGTCACCAGGGCTTTCTAGGGTTTCACATGAGAATTCTACCTCAGGAGTTTGGTCCAGCCAGGGTAGATACAGGCAGCAGGAAACAGGCATTGTGTTGTATTGTGTTGTATTGTATTGTATTGTATTGTATTGTATTATACTGCATTGTACTGTGCTGTATTGTATTGTACTGCATTGTACTGTGCTGTATTGTATCATATTTTGCAGTCGCATCCATAGCACTTACCATGTATCACACGGGGCTCTAAGTCCTTTACACGTATTCATTAGTCCTCATGGCAGCCCTGGAGATCGTTACTATTACCTCCAATTTACAGTTGAGGAAACTGAGATCCATGGAGTTAAGTTGCCCAGCGTCACAGCTGGTGAGGGGAGAGCCAGGATTCAGGCCTGAGCGAGGCCCAGAATCTGCTCTGGTGCTGCTCAGCAAAGCGGGGAAGCTCTGCCTAAGGAAGCAAGAATCCTGGGCTTGCTTTCAGCAGGGCTGTCGCGTCTCTGGACACAGGACATTTGGCCCCATTCTTCCCCCTCCTGAGAACCTAAGCTTACTCACGTATGGAAGACAAATGGTTTTGCAAAATGTTGGAATGTTTGTGAATGGCGCTCTGAAATGAAGGCGATCATGTGGAACAAAGAGATGGGTGTGGGGTCTGATCCCGCCTCTGCCGCTCACTTTCCTGTGCGTGACATTAAGTGGGTTGGAGTCTTTGGGCCTCAGTTTCCCTGGCTGTTCCAGATCATCTCTGGGGGTTTCGTCTAGCTCTCGCCACCAGTGGGCTCTTGGTCATTGGTTATCTGGTTTCTGTCCGCTCACCGTAATCCCTGCCGTTGGTAGTTATCACACTGCAGCGGAGGCTGGCTATGTGCTCAGTTGAGGAGTTGAGGAAAGGAGTTGACAATGAGGAGATGCCTTGCAATTTCTGAATTTGCTCACCAGTGACAGGGATCTAACAAGAAACAGACAAAATTACTTCCATCAGATCAATTCCACCTGGGAGATCTGTACGCTTTTTGTGGAAAGAGCGAAGAGGTGAATTTTGGCTTTGGCTGAAACTTTTCATCCTGACTCTATCATTACTAACTGAGTCATGTGATTAACCATGATTATGTGGTTTGATTTCTCCAAACCTCGGTTTCCTCAAATGCGGGATGCAGAAATGTCTGTCTACCTTACAGCATTGGAAATTGGATGATTACGTGAAAATATACAATATATACATCAGATGGCACCGCCTCGCCCAGTGCCTGGCGCATGGCGGGTGCTCTCGTCTCAGCGAAGGAGGCGAGGAGAGTGTGGGACGCCCCTCCTCGTCCTGGGAGCTGGCAGGGAACTGGTGTCCACTCTGGGTGTTGGTGGCTGTGATTCGTGAGAGCGGGTTTCCCTGCCAGCTGGTGCTCAGCTCGCTGGTGTGGGCACAGTAAGAGTCCCCAAAAGACCTTTCCAGAACCGAGGGCCCTTTTATCTGAGCAGGAAAAGGATGAGGAGGGACTCTGGGCAGTGCCAGCTTTCCCGCTCTGGCCGGAGGCGGCTCAGGAGGCAGCAGAGGGTGGGCAGGCAAAGCCCAGGCTGCCCACCACCACCCGCCTGCGGGCAGGAGGAGGGCTCTGCCTCCTTCAGGGGAGAACTCGGCTAGGAGAGGTTGCAAGGAGGTGGAGGAGAGAAAACTTTTTAAGTGAGCAAAGGTTCTAAGAGCACAAAAGAGAAAGGGAGGGAGGGACCCGGGGGAAGGGGGTGGAGAGAGAAAGAGTAGGAAGAAGGGGGAGGAGGGCGGGTGACAGATACGGATTCAAAAGAGGGTGGAAGAGGGACAAGTGACAGGCTGGAGAGCCGGGAGCAGTGGGCGGTCGGAGGAGAGGGCCGGAGGACTGACCCAGCGGGAATCCCAGAGAGGAGAGGAAGGTAAGGGGGCACTTGCATTTTCAGAGGTGAAACCACCAGCTGATGGGAAGGAGGCAGGAGAGGAGCCTGGGGCCCAGGCTGGATGACAGCAAAGCTCTCTTTCGGTGCCCGTGGGCTCAGCCCCGGCCCCGCAGTCTCCCTGAGATGCTGAGGTCGGACGTGCTGAGGAGGGTGCTTTCCGAGGCCGAGAGGAATGACTTACTTGGTCTGCAAGGAGCGGTGGGAAGGCGAGTGGGGGCTCGGAGGAGGTAGTCCACCCCTTGAGGGGTGGCAGGGCTCCCAGGGCCACGTGAAAGGGTCCACTGTCCATCTCCCAGCACTTGTTGAGATGGACTTGGCCCTTTAAAAAACCTCGTTGTTTTCGGTGCGTCCTCTAGGCGTGGAATCTTTTTGGAAATGCTCTCTGCAACATCTAGGGGAGTGTTTTGGTTTTCCCCTAAGGCATGGAGGGTTTAAAAATATTCCTGCTCCGTTTCCTGCGAGGACCATGCCCCACTGCGCCTGGGGGGCAATCTGGCCTGTCGCTCGCCGTCCTGGGGCTGGTGGGACCCAGAGGAGAATCGGGAGAGGCACCCACTGGAGGCACCTCTCCTCCGGGTGCAGACACGGCGAGGGCCTCTGGGCTGAAGGGTCTGTCGGCTCCTGACCTTTCTTCTGAGCAGGTGGAGAAAGACCCAGCCTCGGTGGCCGGGAGACCTGGGTTCTGGCGTTCTGCGTGTCTGTCCAACCTCGGGCACTTCCGGACACTCCCCTCTGGGCCTCAGTTTACCCACCTGTAATCGGAGGGGCGTGAAGGAGCGGGATCCCCCGATTTCGCTCAGCAGTAATGTCGTACAAGGGCACAATTCCTTAGGCGCCAGGACAACCCAGAGTAAAGGAGAAAGGGACGCGGCCCGAGGCCTTTGTCCTGACTGCACCCAGCTCAGTTCATCCTGTCTCCCCCTCCCAGAGCCTCATGGGCGAGGGCTCCGGGGTCTTGCTCTCAACATCTCAGGTGGCTGTTTCCTGAGGCTCGGGCCCCGGGCCTGAGAGAAGGAGGGCAGTGCGAGGAGCACTGGAAAGGGAGTCAGGAGACCTGGGAGAAACGCAGCGAAATGAACAGAAGAGACCAAGGCCAGGCTGTGGGTTGTGGCACTTCTGTTTGCTGGGGAGGCGGGCTGGTGGCTGGGGACTCAGCTGGCATTCAGAGGCGCCTAGCCGGACTCCATACCAGCGGGCCACACCATCTCCATCTCCTCTGCCCCGCTCACAGCTCAGCCCCTGACTCACTGCTCCCAGGGGACAGCTCTGAACTCTGCACCTTCCTGCAGGTCCCCGGGCGGCAGCGCGCACTGGCCTGCCCTCCTCCTGTCCCTCCAAGCTGTTTCCTCCCCGGCAACTGCCAAAGAGCAGCCCCTGTGACCACAGCGAGCATAGCAGAGAGTGCCCGGAGGCGGTTCCCTGGTTCCACCCGCATCCCTCCCCAGACACATGCAGCTCAGATCAGAGACCTTGGCGGTAGCATCACTGTGGTGCCCGCTTTGCCATGGCCTGAAACCCCAGGGGTGTTCTTGCCAGGCTCCCAAACAGGTCTCTATGCTTGTCTCCTTGCTGCCTCCCGCTCCGTCCCTCCTAGTGCTGGGCCGTTCGCACTAGAAGAGGTTGCTTAGGTCGCCTGTCTAGCTCTTCTTTGACAAATAAGGGAACACGAGGCCTGGGAAAGGAAAGTGACTTGCTGGGGACAGCACAGGGAGCCTGGCCGCTCAGCTGGGCGAACACCCACTCTGCTCCGCTCACTTGCACCAGGCCCTCTGCCTCCGTCCTGGGCTATGGTTTCTGAGCCACCATCTCTTCCCCAGCTTCCTGCTTCTTCCTTACGCATCTCTACAGTCTATTGGAAAGAGTGACACCCACTGCTCACCGCTTCTTCATCATTAACACTGGCTGGGGCTGGGAGAGGGGAGGGGGGTGCACAATGGGAAGTCCTGGGCTCTAGCAGCCAGCAGACTGTCACGGGGCAGCCTGGCCTCATGGGTACTGGCTGACCCCACCTCTGGACCCAACCAGTTCAAGCAGGACAGGGAAGCTGTGTGTTGGATCAGCCCGGACAGGGCCTGGAAGACCTGCAGGCCTCAGGGCTGGTGAGGCCCAGGCCCGGGCTCTGCCCTCTGACCCCAGGGCGACCTCCGCCACCAGGGATCCCCGCAGCTCTCTGTGCGAACTGGCCCCATCTTAGGCTTGAGGACTGAGCAGAGCGGAGGGAGAGACGCGCATTTTCCAGGAGAGCTCCAGGTGTCCTGGAAGAGAAGTGACTCCCTCTCTGCAGTCACAGCTGCTGGCTCCTGGCAAAGGACAGCTGGGCGCCACTTGGTGGGTCAGTTATTTCCGACCTATTAGCAAATGGCGGTGAGAAAATCCAGCCTCAACCATCCACTCACCCTCGTGGGGAAAGGGAGTCGGGGGCTCAGACTCAGGTGTTGAAATAGCACAGAGGGGCCTTGGAGCTCATGGACTTCAGGGGACGGGCAGGATGGAGAGCCTGGGCTCGAGTCACATTGGGTTAGACTTTCTGTCGTGTGACCTTGGGGGGCATTTAATGTCTGATCCTTAGTTTCTGCATCTGCCGAAGAGTTAGTAAGTACCTTCCTGGTGAGGTTTAAGTAAAACAATGTATTGAATACGGCCCTCACATCAGTAAGTGCTCCATGAACAACAAACAAGGGGGGGAATCCAGGTCGCCAAGTCCCCAGCCCACATGTCTTCACATCGCATTGAACTTCACGCAAAGGCCTCTCTTCTGTGAAGGCTCGCTGCGCATGTCACTCATGGGCACGGCTTGGTTTTTATAACTGCTGGGTTTTCTTTTCTGAGACTCCTGTTGCTGGCCTTTATGCTGGGAGTCAGAAAGTCTGGCTTCGCCTCTTGGCTTGGCCGCTCACTTGCCATTCTCTGACACGTGGGCGAGGGACAAAGTGTCCAGCGATTTGAACCTAGAGCTGGAAGGGCCTTCACAGCCTCCCAGCTCAACCGTTCGCTTTTACACCTGGGTGAACCGAGAAGGTAATGTCTACTCTAGAGTCACAACGAAATGGGTGAAGCTGGAAAGAGCTTAGAGCTAGAAGGGCCTTCACAGCCACCCAGCTCATCCGCTCGCTTTTACACCTGAGTGAATCGAGAAGGTAATGTCTAGAGTCACAACGAAATGGGTGAAGCTGGAAAGAGCCTCTTCTAGGAGCCCCTGGTTCACAGAGGACTTCTAGATTTTCCATCAAACCTGGCATCTTCCAGATATAGAGCTTCCGGAGAGGGCAGATGTGGTTGGGGGGCAGGCTGCCCCTTCTCCTCAGCGCACAGGGTAGAAAACCTCCTATTTCTCCTCCACGTAGAACGAAGCCAGTTTCAAACCCACTCCCCTGGGCGTGCCCTCAGATTGGTGATTAGGTTCAAAGTGCTGCCGCTCCCAGGAGGAAGGACTGGCAGGAAACTCATATTGTATGGTAGGGAGTCCACCTCCAGGCCAAGGCTGGGGTTCAAGGACAGTCAGGAGGCTGCTGCACCACTTACATGAGCGAGAGAGGCCTGATCTGAGCTGGCCCTGCACCTCCCTCTTCTCAACCCCTGCCTCCGGGGATCCTCATTTCTAGTGAAATAAGCTCACATTGTATAGTAGGGAGTCCACCCCGAGGCCAAGGGCTGGGGTTCAAGGACAGTCAGGAGGCCAAGCGAGAGGGGCCTGATCTGAGCTGGCCCTGCACCTCCCTCTTCTCCACCCCTGCCTCCGGGGATCCTCATTTCTAGTGAAATAACCAATGCACAGTTGAATTAATATCCTTCCCATTGCCGTGTTTCCCCTCCTCCAACACCTCCACTCCGTGCTGCATGGGGGCCTTGCCGGGTCACTCTAAGCCAGCGGTTCTCAACCTGTGGGTCGAGACCCCTTTGGCGGTCTAATGACCTTTTCACAGGCTTCGCCTAAGACCATCGTGCATATCAGATATTTACATTACGATTCACAACCGTAGCAACATTACAGTTATGAAGTAGCAATGAAAATAATTTTATGGTTGGGTCACAACATGAGGAACTGTATTTAACCCCTAGAGTGCCAGGGAGCGCGATCGCGCTCCTCCTGTCTTTCGCCAAAAGTGCCGGGAGCGCTATCAAAGCTTCGAAATGGCGTCCAGTTCTAAGTCTGCTTTTACTAGTGATGATGATATTGCTAAATATGTCAACGTAGTAAAGGTTTCCTTAAGTTTTTGAATATGTAACTTCATTTACTTGCGATGGCGATTCATAATTTTTTTTCTTAAACTGCTGTAAAATCAGCAAAAACGCCTTGGCAATTTTAGCATCATTCCTAGGATATTGGTTGGCACTCAAAGGGTTAAAGGGCCAGAAGGTTGAGAACCACTGCTCTCAGCAGCCTGCTGTCCTGTCAAGTTCTGCACCAAGTTGGCTAGTTGGCTCACACTTGAGAGAAGTTTTTACTGGAAATGTCAGAAAAGAAAAACAAGGAACTAGCATTACTGAGTAGCTTCTATGTGCCAGCTACTGTTCTGGGCAATTGCACGTCTCCACACATTGTTTACTATCCAGGCGTAAACATTCCCCTTTTCAGATGAGGAGGAAACGGAGAAGTTAAATGACTTGCCTAAGGTCATACAGCCAGAGAGCGATGGAAGCATGGCTAGAGACTTTCCAGTCCGTGGGGATCATGCCCCCTCCCCTCACCTAACTATTTCTGTTTCCTTTGTTCTTGCTATGATTTGACATCAATGGAACACCAGGCCTGCTGTTTAGCCAGCCGAGAACCTGGCAGTGGACACAGCCGCGGCCAAGAGCACTTAATGGCTAAAAAAGGAAATAACTTTCTATATGTGAATTCTGGCCAAATGGTGGCAGATGCTGAAGTCTGGGAATCCTGACCACTGTGGGCTGAGGGCCCTGATGTAATCATTAATTCTGGGAGCAGCACAGGCAAGAGGTGGCCAGCCACTAAGCCGGAGGCTGGAAGGAAAAACCCTGGCCTCTTATGGGAAGTGGGAATAGCCCTGCCTGGGGAGTAAGAGACTGGGCTCTGGTCACAGGGTTGTCACCAGCTGTCAGTCCTGGAAGCTCTTTGATCTTCTTTCCCTTTTATGGACAGAGAAAATGTAGGCTTTGGTACCAGGCTCCAGTACCGTAGGCGGTATCTGCTGGTGGTGTGACTTTGTACAAGCGACTTAACCACTGAGCCTCAGTTTTTCCATCTGTGAAATGGAATAATACTTCTTTCCTAGCAGGGCTACTGAAAGGGTTAGAAAGTAGAGTTGTACAGTGCTTCACACGTGGAAAGCACTTAACTTAGTGGTATCTGTCATTACTTAACTACCCTTGACCCTCATCTTCATCTTGTGTAAAAATAAGGGGTTGCGTTTTTATTGATCTCTAGATTTCAGCTCTACTGCACTGTGAATCTATGACAAGATGGTGAGAATAATAAGGAAATGTAAGCATTTCATAAATATAATTTCCATTAGTAATTGTATAGCTTCTAATCCACCCCTCTGGGGACAATTAATAAAAACCTCTCAGTATTTAACTGAAATTGAATAGCTTTATTTGCCATACCTCCCACCCACTCCTTATAAATATTTTTTCTTCCAACATTTGAAGAAGAAAAAGTACTTAGCTTAGCATAATCCTCTTTTTCCACTTTGCCTGCTCCTTTCCACCTCCTTGGCCTTGAAACAACTGTCTGCCAGCAGGGTGTCTCTGAGCAGACCCCTCTGTTCTTGCCGGAATTAAATCATTAGATTGAAAGAGGAGTTAATTATCTGCCATTGGCTAGAGTAGGAGGCAAACTGAAGTGATACTTGGTCTCAGCCATCTGTCTCTCCTTTTCTCTCATCTCCATCTCCCTCTCCCCTCCACGGTGCTCAAGGATCAGAGGCACAGGCCCCGATAGAATTGCCCCCACCACTTGCAAATCAACTGCCTATTCTGACTGTGACCTCACAAACATCCCTGAGGCAGTCCTCGCAGGTAAAGTGGCTGGCCTTTGGTAAGGATTTTCAAGAAAGGAACTTCAGGCGAGTTAGATCGTCTAGCACAGTTGTTAAGCAGGAGCGTTGTTGCTAGACTAGACAAGAGCTGGGTTTGTGAGCAACTCCCCGCTTAATAGCAGTGGGATCTTGCTCAAGTCACCCTCTTGAGCCCTCTAAAAAGGGGACGGGTAGTCCTCATTTCCTCATGCTTTTGAGAGAATCCAATGAGGAAAACATATATAAAGAAACTTGCAAGTGCCTAGTACGTAGAAAGGTCTCAATGCGTGTTAGCTTATTTTATTATTACTATTATTATCTAGATTCAAATTCTCTTTTTGGGTAGCTCTGGGTACACTAGGCAATGGAGCTGAGACTCTCCAAGGACAATGAAGATCCCTGAGGTAGCTGAGGACCAAGACCACCTTCTCATGTAATTCTCCCTGTACCTTCATTTCAGGGAGAAACTACTAGAATGAGGGGAAATCAGGAAAAGGCAAACTGATGACTAAAGTACAGAAGAGTTCTGAGATGACAGTTCTATTTGGCACTTCATCAAGCCAGCTTTGACGTCTGACGTAGCCCAGCAGCTCCATAAACACTTTCTGAACTAAACGGCACTGACGTGATGCTGTGTCTAAGGCACCCATGAAGTGAGGTTCTCTGAGTCTATTTTACAACAGACTTTGTTGTCTTGCAGGAGATCAGGGTTGAGTTGGAGAGAGAATGCACAGCCAGTAGAGCAAATAATTCACTTTGTAAAACTGAACTGAATTATTCTTTTCGTTAATCCCCTCAGCACCCCACCCAGTGCTGGTCACATCAAGGGAGCGTCATAAATGTTGGCTTGATGGCATAAAAGCTGACTCCCAGGCCTTCCCTACCACTAAATGGCAGAGCCCTGTCTCAAATCACTCACTGCCCAGGGTGAGCAGGAGACCTAAGAGCTGATGGGCTCTGTCCTCAGCGGGAAGATGGAGGGGAACTTTCTGGTGTGCACTGACGGGATCAGAAACTGGAATGAAGTCCTGGATGTGTCCCCATTAGTCTTCATTTCTTTGAATAAGTCTTATCTTCTCTACATGTCTCCTCCTTTGCAAAACAGAGGTAATAACCATCACCCCCCAAAGTGGCTATGAGGAGTCCTCATTCAATAATAAAAAGTGAGCCCGGCCGGCATGGCTCAGTGGCTGAACATTGACCTATGAACCAGGAGGTCATGGTTCAATTCCCTGTCAGAACACATGCCCGGGTTGTGGGCTCGATCCCCAGTGTGAAGTGTGCAGGAGGCAGCCGAGCAATGATTCTCTCTCATCATTGATGTTTCTATCCCTCTTGCCCTCTCCCTTCCTCTCTGAAATCAATAAAAACATTTAAAGAAATATTTATTATGTACCTAATGATAGAATCTAATGCAATAAGTGTACAAAGTAGAAGACAGGGCTTTGGACTTTGAGAAATCTACTACTAATTTGAGGGGAAAAGCTTTTACATCTTTGAGGGCAGAAACCATGCCTGGTTTTGCTAATTCTATAGCTATCATTGAGTACCTAATATGTGGCAGACCTGTTACTTTGTAGGTATTATTTTCAGTACCCGGAACCGTGATGGACACATAGGGACTCCAGAAAGTACTTTCAAATTAGCTGATAGCAAGAAACTTTTGGAGAACAAGTGTAAGGCAGCATATAACTAAGCCTGAGAATGTATCCTACTTGCTGGGTGGTAATTGAGTCTTCAGAGTTCAGGAGCCATCAGAGAGGGCTGAGGTCAATTTGAGAAGTCTTCTCCATTGTCTACTTAGACTTGTGGGATCCGAGGAAGAGGTCCTGACTGAGTGTATGTTCGTCTGGATTGCTCTAAATTGATTTTCTTTGGAAACATTGGCTGCACAGGGAGGCAACAGGAGGAGCACTGACCTGGAAATGTAGATACCTTAGATACCCGAATTTTCTCTCTAGCCACATAATACATGAAGTAAGGTTATAAAATGATTCATGTTCACTATACACCAAAGCCTTCCATTGGCCTCTTCCATCTTATCCAAGTATCATGTCTTGTTACCAAACAAGTCCTCTGTTGATTCCTCCAAAATGCTTGCTTTGTCCCAGGCTATGACACATCGAAAGAGGATGCTGAAGGTTTTGGAGTGGAGAACCCTCAGCGTCGGGATGCTCTTGTCCAGTTTCTAGGGACCACCTCCTTTTGCCTGGGTCGCTTCAGAACTGGTACCAGCGGCAAAGGGCTGTAGAAATCGATTTCCCAGAGCTCTTTGCAGGGCCCTGCTCTGAGGAGCCCCTCCTCCACGCCCCAAACTAGAGTTAGCCTCCTGCCATATATTCCTATACTGCCCTGTACTTCCTTCATGTTAACACATCACATTTTATTGCAGTTATGGGCTTAATTTCTCCACTTAATGAACGAATATAAGGGCAGTCAAACTCAGAAAAGGCAGGAAGTCCTTGTTTGTCTTTTGTTGCTGTTGTTTGTTTATTTATTTATTTATTTATTTATTCAAATGTATCTTTATTGTTGAAAGTATTGCACATGTCCCCTTTTTCTTCATTGACCCCCTCCAACCCTACCCTTCAGGCCTTCACAAGTTTCTTTGGCTAAGGTTGTGGGAGACCCAAAGGGACTTAGTGTCGTTGGAAAACTGACTTCATCAGAGACCTTTCATGTTATAAACCGAGCAGCTGGTACGTGGTAAGAATTTTCAGTTTTTCTGACCTTGCCTGAATCATTCAGGAAGTCACAAGTGAGAGGTCTTCACCCTATTTGCTGCCATCAAGGCCCAGTGGATAGCCCCACCCCACCCCGCCTTGGCGAGTTTCTCTTGTTTTTTCCTGAGGAGCCACCATTTCCAATACTGTTTTTCTGATATTGCACGATGTTCCCTCCTGTACCTGTGCTTTACTTCTTCCAGGTAATCCACCAATGAGGGGGTCAACAACGAAGACTCTTGACAGACCAAACCAGAGCACCACATTCTTTGCCTGGAACTATTTTATCCTTCCTGGGGGACTTGCAAGGCACAAGTGACAGAGTCAGACGGATCAGAGGAAAAGTCTTCAGGGCCTGAGGAGAGTTTGTAAAACTTGCCCCAAATCCTAGAAGTGTATGACATTTGTTTATCTCTTTCTTTTCATTCACTTTTTATTTGCATCTGTTTTCCTCCCACTTTCTCCCCTTCTGCTTTTCCATCTGTTTCTCTCTTCTTTGTAATCTTTCTACTTGCTCTTTCTCTTTCCTTCTCCAATTATTGTTCTTCCCCACCACTGTCCTTGCTAGTAATGGCTGCCTTTCATTCAGTTCTTACATACTGAGCACTATGCTAAGTGCTTTGTATCCACCACCTCATAATACTCTGCGAGCTAAATAATATTATACCCATTTTGCAGGTGGTAGAATTGAGACACAAATCCAATAACTTCTCCAAGCTCAGCAGATAATAGAGATTTGAGCTCCAATTAGCTAACCCCCAAGCCATCTTCTCTTAACCAATACACGGTCTATTTTTCTCCATTTCCAACTCCCCCTTGTCTTTTACCTCTTTTTGTTCCTTCTCATGCTCTTCATCATCCCTACTTCTCTCCCTCCCCTTCTCTTACTCACCACATCCCGGTCCCCACACTTGTGTGCCTGACCCTGAAGGTGCTGAACACTGTGCACGTGCCCAGAAGAGATGACAGACCATTTAAACTCTTATCTAATCAGGCATTTTCCTTTTGAGCAAACGCTTCACATTTTCCCACATTGTCTGATCAAAACCAGAGGAAAGGCCTCCAGACCTGGCTGGGTCTTTGATATGGAGGGAAGAGAGATAAGGCCCTTTCCGCTCACTCATGGATTCCCTCATTCCCAGCCGTGTACTCTAGGGTTAGGGAACGTGAAGGGAGGTGAGAGGCATTGGTAGAACTCTGTCAAGGAATCAGCTCAGGAGCCAAAGAAGCCTGGGCCATGAAATGTGGCACTTCCACCCCCTCCTTCTTCATATGTATAACGAATGTTCAGATCGGAACCAGGGCATACTGGCAGCAAAAATGTGAAGGTCAAGGTTTGAGCTTGACAATCTTTAATGCCCCATCAGAGTCTGAGGTTTTGTGATTCTAAGAATATTCCGCCCCTCCCCTCCCCTGTCCTCCCCTCACATTCTTTTCTTTTTGTCATTCTGTTGATTAGAATTGGTTAGAAGCTTGCCCTGGCTGGTGTGGCTCAGTTGGTTGAACATCATCCCATGCACCAAAAGGCCACTGGTTTGATTCCTGGTCAGGGGACATATTCAGGTTGTGGGTTCAATTCTTGACCAGAGTACATGTGGGAGTCAACTGGTCCATGTTTCTCTCTCACATCAACATTTCTCTCTCCTCTCTCTCCCTCTCTCTCTCTCTCTCCCGCCTTCCTCTCTCTAAAAATATTTTTTAAAAATCAATGAATATATATATATATTTGATTAGAAACTTAAGCCATGAGGACATTTATTGTTCATCAATAACAATTCTAGAGGTAGGGGATTCAAGAGTTTCAGAGGCCTCAGGGCACTATCTGCTATTTCTGAGAGTCTCTAGGCAACTTCAGACATCTTGGCTCACACAGCCCTGTCCACAGGCAGGAAGGGTTTGGGGTAGGGAGGACTTCAACAGAGGCTCCCTCCATTTACTGAGGGTTGGAAAAACATTTCCTAGAGCACTCCCTCCACATCAGTCTCTCCCCATGCCTCAATGAGCTGACCTAGCTGCAGTGGAGACTGAAAAATTGACATTGGCCCTTTCACCCTACTAATGGGACCCAGGAAAGGAATAGGGACTTAGGTTGCCACTGGGTAGGAAACACCAGTGCTTGACACCCCTTTCTTAATTCACTCAACAAAGATACACTAAGCACCCACTCTAGGCCAGGCTCTGGGTCAGGTGAGGATGATACAGAGGAAAAGACGGTTCCTGGTCTCCATGAGCTCTGACTGGAAGAACACAGATGGGCAAAGGATTACAAAACAAGGTGGCAAGTGTAGGGGAGGAGTGAGCGTTCCCAGGGCCACCACAGGAGCTGAAGAGGCTCAGCCTGAGAGAGCAGAGAGGGCTGGAAGAAGCCATGACTAGGTCAATTTTGAAGGGTAGATGGGATTCAGCTGGGCTTGAGGGGGCCTGTAGGAGGTGGTTTGGAGGAGGACATCTGGAAATCTTCCAGACTTGGCATGTTTGGATAAAGGGAACTAAAGGGGACAGGCAGGAAATGAGGCTGAGAAGCAGGCAGGGGCCTAATGAGGGAAGGTTTTGTATGGGACATAAGGGATTGGGGCATTTAGTGTGGATGTGAGAGTGAGCAGGTCTGTGGTGGGAACCTCCTGTATGTATGCAGAAGGCCAAGCCAAGCTGTACAGCTGCAATGGTGCTGTGGTGCAGGAGATCCACATTGCCCACTGCTTGCAGCTAGGGGGACCTGAGCACTCATCTGTGATACCTACCTAGTGTGACCGAAGACTTTTTGTTTGCTAGCGCCCAATACACCTGGTCCATACTGGGTGGTTCTGATGATTAGAGAATGCTTCCTAAGGGGCCACATTGGCACTCACTCTTTCCTCCTTCACCTAGTTCTGCCCTCTGAAGACATAAAATGTTTGTTTTCCACCTAACAGCCGTTCAAGCATACGGGGCATTTGTGGTATTTCAACATACCACATTGTTGGGTACACGGGTCCTCATCCTACCTGACTGTGCCAACTGTTGGGTCCAAGCCCCTCTGCCAGGGACTGGACCTCCTTAGATGCCGGGTGGTAGATGGAGAAGGCATAAGAAATCGTGGATATATAAGAGTCTTTATTGCAGGCCAAATAGCCATTGCTAACAAGGAGTGGTGGTAGATGGAGAAGGCATATCGTGGATATATAAGCGTCTTTATTGCAGGCCAAATAGCCATTGCTAACAAGGAGCCCTTAGACCAGTGGTTCTCAACCTTCCTAATGCCGCGACCCTTTAACACAGTTCCTCATGTTGTGGTGACCCCCAACCATAAAATTATTTTCGTTGCTACTTCATAACTGTAATTTTGCTACTGTTATGAATCATAATGTAAATATCTGATATGCAGGATGTATTTTCATTGTTCGCGACCCACAGGTTGAGAACCGCTGCCTTAGACAAAACAGTTCTTCAAAGTAGAGTCCCATAAAGGCAAGCAGCCGCACACCAACTGGTTAATAAATACATCTTTCCCATAAAGTAGCCTCCAACATAGGAGCTATACAGGAGCTATTATTAGAGCTACAGCGTCCGACATAGGGACCCGTCTAGGAGCCTCACATAGTAGCAGCCGCACACTGCTGGCTGGTCAGTGGCAACTTATATACAAGCTCAAATAAGCTTAAACAAAAGAGGCTTCATGCCAAATAGAGACCTCAGTAGTATTTGGGCTACAGAAGAGTACGCTTGCACAGTGCATAGATTGCTGCATCCTTGCTTTTGCACCTGCATATAGCAATTTCGCCTTGAACATTCTGATTAAGACTCCCATGCTCAGAGTGGCCTTGAACATCCAGCATACTCTGAAAAGGGCCCCTACACTCCAACTGGCCTTGAGCATCCGGGGTACTCTGACAGGGTTCCCACACACATACCCTTTCATTTAATCTTCAAAACGCCCTGGTGTGGCTCTTCCCATCCCCATTTCAAAGACAAGAAACAGACTCAGTGAGTTTGTGCCAAGTCACATTAGCGGATTTTCAAGACTCCAGGTCTGGTTCTTGGCCAGACTGCCTCAGAATCACCCAGTCTGCTTATCGCAATCCAGATTTGGGGGGGTGGGGAGGGCAGGGCACTCCAGACCCACTGAAGTAGAATCTCTGGGGGTAAGAACATTGTAACACACATCTCAGTTCATTTCTAGACCCATTGAAGTGTGGGAACCATGCTCTAGGCTTGCTAATATAACCACTTCTAATCTCTCTCTGTGTATTTTTGCTGGAGGGTCTGGGGGAGAAGAGAGCTCTTTAGCTGAATCTGACGTATTAGTTGCACTCTCTTAGAGCACACACCGGTGTGAATCGGTGGCATCCCAGGGCAGGACTGGAGCTCCCAGGCCTTGGCAGCAGCACCCCATTCCCTTTCTCCCCCTATTTGCAGGTCTCTGCCCGCTGCTGAGCCGCGATGGGCGACTGGAGCTTCCTGGGGGAGTTCCTGGAGGAGGTGCACAAGCACTCCACGGTGATCGGCAAGGTCTGGCTCACGGTGCTCTTCATCTTCCGCATGCTGGTGCTGGGCACGGCCGCCGAGTCCTCCTGGGGTGACGAGCAGGCGGACTTCCAGTGCGACACCATGCAGCCGGGCTGCGAGAACGTCTGCTACGACCAGGCCTTCCCCATCTCGCACATCCGCTACTGGGTGCTGCAGATCATCTTCGTGTCCACGCCGTCGCTGGTGTACATGGGCCACGCCATGCACACGGTGCGCATGCAGGAGAAGCGCCGGCTGCGCGAGGCCGCCCACGGGGCCGGGGAGGGCCAGGGCACCGGCTCCTACGGCTTCCCGGCGGCCGAGAAGACGGAGCTGTCCTGCTGGGAGGAACCCAACGGCAAGATCGTCCTCCGGGGCACCCTGCTCAACACCTACGTGTGCAGCATCCTGATCCGCACCACCATGGAGGTGGCCTTCATCGTGGGCCAGTACCTGCTCTACGGCATCTTCCTGGACACGCTGCACGTCTGCCGCCGCAGCCCCTGCCCCCACCCCGTCAACTGCTACGTGTCGCGGCCCACGGAGAAGAACGTCTTCATCGTCTTCATGCTGGCGGTGGCCGGCCTGTCCCTCTTCCTCAGCCTGGCCGAGCTCTACCACCTGGGCTGGAAGAAGCTCCGGCCG